TTTGAGCTTAGAGGGACGCTTTACAAGCGTGGATATTATTTGGCCGATGGAATATATCCGGATTATTCCACGATTGTTAAATCCCTCTCCGAACCAATGGGTCTTAAACGCCAAACCTACAAAAAAGCTCAAGAGGCGGCGAGAAAAGATATTGAACGAGCCTTTGGGGTCTTGAAGGCTAAGTGGCACATTCTAGATCGTCCGTCGAAATGTTATTCTCAGACAAAAATGAGGAATATCATGTACGCATGTATTATTCTTCATAATATGATCATAGAGGATAACGGGTCTGCGATTTGTCAACACAACCAGTACGAGGAGGTGCCTATGTACGAAGAAATCACCGAAGAAAAGAAACGACGCAACCGCCAAGAAATTCGAAGCCGAGAGATTCACAATGCACTAACGGCGGATTTGATCGAACATATCTTTAGTCGTTCGAATAATTAGTGATTTCTTTGTACTATTGTTTTTTTATGTAATTTTTTTAATGAATGTAATTTTTTTTGAATGTTTTTTTATGAATGTAAGATTTTTTTATAATGAATTTAATTTTTTTATGCACTAGTGTAATTGCGATTAATTAAAATAATAAATTAAATTAAATTTATTAATTTAAATTTAGAAGATGTATATTTAAAAATGTAAAAAATGAAGGTTTGAAGCCCAGTTTTGAAGCCCCGGGGCTTCAAACTCATTTTCAGTGAATTTTGGGTGTAAGTTAAAGCTGACGTAGCAGAGAGAGAATGTTTGAAGCCCCGGTTTGAAGCCCGGGGAGTTTCATAACCATTACCATTACCAGTGATGTATAGGTACGGAGCTCCACTATCAATTTGTGGAGGGCAGATATCATTGGCCCAAATCCATACCTAGAGTGGATCGGGTCTCTGTCATAGGGCTCCTTCCATAGACGAATCTCCCTGGCCAGCGGCGTGTTCGTTTCAGGAATCGAAACCTGAAATCTCACGATTCCTGGGAATTCATCACCTACGATACTGGAAAGGAAAGATGTGGCATGAAGCGAGGAAGTCGGAGAAGAAAGTCCATGACATGATGGACGCCGCACGGAAGAGAGCTCAGCGCCGAGCAATCTATTTGGCTAAACGGCGGGGTGACCCCCGGCAATATATCCAAGCCGTCGGAACCCGCTGTCGCATCTACCGCGATGATGCCCTATATCAAGCGACGGAGGACGAGCAGGGACTGTATGAATTCTCACTCATTTCTTACATATAGCTTCTGATAGCGCATTTTTGTTTCCTCACATGTTTGTGCGCTCTAACCCCCATATCGTTTTGCAATAATCATGAACTTTTCCAAGCTGTAGCAATTTTCATGGACTTTTGGCATGCATTGGTAATGAATGTAATATTGTAATGATTGTTCATGTAATTGTATCATATTAGAATTGAGTGTTGAATATTGTCCCAATTTAGTGTCAAAGAATAATGAATTCATGGACTTGTGATGACATGCTTCCGATTTTCTGAATTTTGTGCCCCGATTTCAAGAGGATGTGTTTATGTTAGGATAGAATTAGTACTACATTCATTCAGGTTAAACTGTTTTACTCACCATGTAGAACCCCTTTAATCTTGCTAGCACTTAGTCCCAACCAGTGGGGGTCGGTGACAGGATTCTACTTATGGTGCAGATTAAGTATCTAAAAAAGTACAACAACTATAATGCAATAGGATCCCATAAATGGGTCTAGGGAGCGCAGGTGGATGCAGACGAGTAGGTGTATGCAGACTTTACCACTACATAGAACAACCTTAACATGTAGAGAGGTTGTGTCCCAAACACCCCTGCTCAAGCACAAAAGAAACAAGTTAGTAGAAATTAAAAGTTCACCAAGTAATGGTCTTGACTAATCACATTGCTCCAACTCGTAATGGGTCTGCCTCTACCTCTCCTCAAATTCCATACCTCTAGGCTCTAGCCTGTCACACCCACACCTCACTAAAGCATCCAAAATACACCTCATCATGTGCCTCAAAATCCTCAAATTTCTTACCTGGTTATCTAAAGACAGTCAACAGTATTAATTCATTCCAAAAACACAATTGCAGTGTTTTGAGCCAGATGCCTTCCTTGTTAGGAGTCAAAAACTTCTTGCGAAGCAATTCTGATTTTGTAATAATGAAATCACTTGGATGGAGCCATAAAATATATCATACCGTAGTATGTGATGTAGTCATCTCCCATTATAAATTTACAATAAAAATGATGAACCGGACCCAATAAAACTTGATACTGTACCATAGATTTTGTATCAACCATTTTACCAGATCTAAGGTTTTCCTTCCCGAAGCAGTGCTTACTTTGATATTGTCAATGATTTATACCAGGATACCTTGGAATGGCAAGCAAGACACTCTGATTGACAGGTAACTACCTAAGTCATAATTTCTATTTTTTAGAAGGGGATTCATTGATTTACTCTGCTCATGGATTATTCTCTTGGCAGATTTGATGGTCGTGCTCTTCTTGATTTTATACGGGATACCAGTTCCCGGAGTTTTCGTGCTCCACAGAGAACTGAAGAGGAAGAAGAATTGGAAGAGTTTGTTAATTTTGAGCGTTACCGGGACTTAATTAAGCATGGGCGTAGAGGATGTCGGTACTTTTTTGGTTTTCTGATTTACGTCTGTATTGTTCTTCAAACATAGAATTGTTGCATCTGTTCTGCTCTTTTAGTCTTACTGTTGTCACGGAATGCAATAAAACAACACCATGCATTTCTTTAGCCCTTGTTTGATTCAAAAGAGGGGTGGGGGTGGGTGGATAGAAAAGCTTACAAAGATACAGATATTATGTTTGGTTCATTGGCAAAGTGTGGGGGAATTATTATTTTAGAAAAAATAATACTCCATCTGTCCCGAAATCATAGTCTTCATTTACTTTGTGGGACGTCCCAAAAAAAGAGCCCTCTTTCCATTTATAGAAAGAGGCTCACATTCTTTTTCTCTTTGCATCACTTTCAACCACTCAATTTCACTTTTCTTAAACTCCGTGCCAAGTCAAACTAAGGTTGAATAATTTTGATAACAACTGTGAAATAAATTAAGAAAAAATACTCAAATAAATACCCCAAACTGGTTTTTTTAATGCAAGGAGTTTGGAGGAATTTATAATTTTGCACCTCTCCCCCCACCTCTAACTCCCTCAACTAGACACTCAACTCCACTCTCTTCCTTGTCCATCCAAATTTCTCCAAATAGGGTTATTAATGGCTGATGGTGAATTATGGCCAAAATTCTTCCATAAGCTGCCATAACCCCCTGTTCTTCACAAATATCATCACACTGCCACTGCTGTCTGCCATTTGACAACAGTCACGACGTTGCCTCAAACATAAAATGGCTTAGAGAGACCTAAAATCATGCATCTTTCTTTGGACATATCTCTCCGTGAGTCGGCACAAAAGCTGAAAAAATATCTTGTGCAGTTAATGATGCAGATGGTTTACAATATGTTAGCCAAGAGATAGAGGCTAAGGTTGTTGCTCAATTTGACGCAGACAGGTGCTTTATTGAAAACCTTGCTATTTATTTTTCTTAGTGCATGAAAATTTACATGTAACATACTTTTTTTCCTTCATTTTTGTTACAAATGTGGCAGACCTCAAACAACACAGACTCCAACAAGCAAGGGGTCTTATTCTCAAGTGGGGTTCTCTTATGATAAAGAAGTAAAAGATGAGGCTCATTATTCAAATGCAGAGGAAGATGGTGAGGGTGAAGAGGATGAAGAGGATGATTTTAATAGTGATGATAGTTGTGATGAAGCAATGGAGTCCGTTGCAAAAGAATTTGGAGTAAAGAGGTACGGATGGCTTGTTTACATGGATAAAAAGGCAAAAGAGGAGGAAAGGAGACAAAAAGAAGTAATTAAAGGGGATCCTGCCATTGTAAGTTTGTTCAAAATGTTTGCTGATATTATGTGTATATATATGAAGGATAAGTGATAGTTGCTTGGTGCTTTTGCAGAGGAAACTGAGTCGAAAAGAAAGAAGAAAGGCGTCACAGTTGGAAAGAGAAAAGGAAAGGGAAGCTGCTCAATTTACCGGGATTCGACGTTCCCATCACGACCCATATCGGTTGTTCTCGTGGATGTCTCCTTTGGGTTCTCAATAGATTATGGCCTTGTTTGGAATTTTGCTGGATTGCTGGATTTTAAGCCTCAAAACTCTTTTTACTCCAAACTTTTGTTTGGTAAAATAAAAGAAGTGTTATAGCTCGAAACTAGGGGTTATTAAACAACTTAAAAGCAAAATGCTTTTGACCCACATAACCTACTTTTTTACAGTTACAAGATCATGTTCCCATGTGAAAATGACACAGGTGTTAAGTTTAGATTGAATAGTGGGTTGAAAAGCGTTAATTATTGGAGAAATGGCTATTTGATAAGACATAAGGTATAGTTTATGTGGATAATTGAAGGGTGGAAGTGTCTTTTGGTTTGGAAGGGACTTTCAAATATAGTAAAAGGGAAGATAATTTTGGGATTGGGGGTATTAGTTACCTGATTCTTTTAGCATCTAAATTTGAAGTACCAAACATTTTTTGTACAACACTTCTCAATACTTTTTATTCACAATTTAACCCTTTGTAACAGTAATACCAAACTGGCCCTAAAGAGTATAAACATTAGAATGTGGTGGCGGCAGTCAAATTTTTAGGTGCTCTAATGCAAACATTTTTGGTGTACTATGCAGGGAGTCAAGACGAAGTCCAACATACGAAGCTTATTCACGATCTAGAAGGTGGTAGTTTGTTTTACCTTTTATCTACCTTGAAATATGATTCTGGTTGGATCTTTATTGAATCTTTTCTGTTTTGGTGGATCTAGGTCAAAGTCTAGGTCAAGGTCTCCATCAAACTCCAGGCGTTATGGTCGTGGAACACATTATGGTGTTGAGCAGGGAAGGGCTCCAAAGCTAGAGTACATAACTGAGTTTGGGGGTTCAGATATTGAAAATGAGCCTAAGTTTGAAGGATATTCTCCACCTCGTAGTCCTCCATCACAAGCTGATGATTCACTAAACCGGTCGGAGCACTCAACCTTTTTTTTTCATGCAAAAGCTTCATTGGACTCTCCTTACTCTGCTGCAGCTTATCACCCTTTTTGTAACCTGATCCAAACTTAAATGTGGTTTAGTATGCCACAGTTAGGATTATCATAACTTCCAAGGATAAGAGAGAACCTAACTCTGAGTGCCCCAATTTGCCACCTTGAGATCCAATTCATCTAATGCTTATGTGTTCTGCAGGCCATCATCTGGTCTCATTCTTGAAGCTCTTCATGTAGATCCTGCATCAGGGGTTTCTTTTAACAAGGAAAAGAATACCAAGTTACTGAGAACACCAGCATGGTTTTCTCTCTTTCTCTCAAAGCATTTTTTTATGATATCTTTACATAATTACATCTAGTTAATAGTTTAATACTCCCTGGAGTTCACAATGAGTTATCTTTTTGGAGGAATTTTTGTTTTTGGGTGGCAATATGTGTTGTTTTATAAAACCAAGGCAGTACTTAATGCCCCCCCCTCCCCCTCCCCAAGACGACAACAACCCATTAGAATCTCTCCAAGACCTCTATGCAAAATGAATCTTAATGTTACTTTCTCGTAATATTGTATACTCCCTTTGTCCAAAGAAAAGAATCATATTGTAAGAATTTTTTTTGTACCTAAGAATTATTTGAACAAAAAAAGCTATTTTTCATTATGTCTAATGTTTTTATCAAAGAAGTATCTCAAACAAGTTAAATTTGTAAAATTTATAAAAAAAAACAAATAGAACTTTCAGAGTAAAATATGTCTATAGTTGATGAATAGATGATTTCCAATACATGGTACCTCATAAAATTCTACTGTTGTACCTTGGTGAAAAATGACTTTTTTTTGTGGACATGAGCATTTAGCAAAGTTTTTCTCCATTCAAAAACTCAATCTCCTCGATCTGTTTGATTTCTTCTTAAATGACCCTTGTTGTGAACCAGTGAGAGTGTTCATGTTTTCTATATCAGTTTCCTCACACAGTTGATTGCTTTTTATTATTGTTTTTGTTGACAGCTCAACTTCATCTGTTGCAAAATTAAGCAAGACACCAACTAGCTCAATCTTCTCTAAACAACAGGGAGAAAAAAAGGAAACTCCTCAGGAGCGGCTCAAGCGAATCATGAGCAAACAACTGAACAAACAAAGTATAATTAGTTTGATGTGCATCTTTCAGGGGAAGCACATAATTTAATTAACTACTAATATTTGCTTCTGAAAGTGNGTTGTGAACCAGTGAGAGTGTTCATGTTTTCTATATCAGTTTCCTCACACAGTTGATTGCTTTTTATTATTGTTTTTGTTGACAGCTCAACTTCATCTGTTGCAAAATTAAGCAAGACACCAACTAGCTCAATCTTCTCTAAACAACAGGGAGAAAAAAAGGAAACTCCTCAGGAGCGGCTCAAGCGAATCATGAGCAAACAACTGAACAAACAAAGTATAATTAGTTTGATGTGCATCTTTCAGGGGAAGCACATAATTTAATTAACTACTAATATTTGCTTCTGAAAGTGATCAGAATTGCAAGATTAAGGATCTCCACTCTTCACCCTCAACTCAAATAATGTCATTTAATGAATTGTTCTGTATATTATGTTATGAAAACCATATTTGCCTTTTTGCAGTCAAGAAAGATACAGCTATTGAAACAGCTAAGAAGCGAGAGCAAGAAAGACTGAGGCTTGAAAAACTTGCAGAAACAAACAGAATAAGTCGATATCGCCATCAAAGCCGTAGTAGAAGTTACAGTCGCTCCCCACCAAGGTAATTTTAAAGGAAATAAGTTATGACATTTTAGCGGCAATGTCTGCATTTGTGCTATAACCTAAATATCTATAATTTGGGTATATCCTGCATAAAATTTTCAGTGCCCTTGATCTATTTCTTTGACTTCAGTTCTACTCAAAAAGAATACAGCCCAATCTAGCACCAGTTACCATTTGCTTACATGCTACAATTTTCCCATGTTATAGTATGATTTTACCTGGATAAGTGAGTTTGATATACAGAACAAAAATCATGGTAGAGACCGACCGATATACACAGGAGTATGGTACTAAAAATCATGACCTCTTTATTGTCTAGTTTGATATCACCTCTTTAACGGCATTTTTGTCAAATGTCATAAATTATGAATCTTACTTGCATTTTAAAAGTTCATCTAGGTACACTTGTAAAAAATCTTTTGTGGCTCTTTTATCGGCATTTGTTGGGAACTACGAGAAGAATAGCTTCATCAATAAAAATGTATTCTTTTTTAGACGGACGGAGTATTTTCTAAGCATTTTTACCACTTCCATTCATGCAGAAGATACCGCCGGAGCCGCAGCCGCAGCAGAGGCCGGAGTTCTCGAAAAAACCGCTCACGGTCAAACTCAAAGTCAAGGTCTCCCGAGCATTCACATTCATTTTCCCGTTCGGTGTCCCGGTCTCACTCGCCTCGGTAAGTTTTCATGAAGTCTGTTTTCCATGTTTTCAGTCTCTTGTGCTTGATATAGATTGGGGGAAAAAATATTGCAGGGCTCGAAGGCGATCAAGATATTAACTCTTTCTGCGAATAGCGGCATTCAACCTGTCATGCTCTTGAAGTTATGTACTAAGGTTCTTAAAGAGCAAGGTGTTAATTTCTTCTTGTAATTTTCTGTTGTGAATTGTATTTTGGTGGGTGGTTTTTTGTTTTTAGGTGATAACTTTGTTATTATTATTATTGTTATTATTTCGAAGTTTGAGTCTTACTCTCCATGTCTCCAACCATGTTTTACTACTACTCAGGTTCCAAATTAAGTTACATGGTTACGATTTATAAATTAAACTTCACTCGCTTTGTATCTTTATTTTTGTTACTAAATAAAGGAAAGGCACGAAATGAGTTTTCTAACTATGTTCAACTCATTCGTTTCAAATGAGTTGCTAGAGAATAGAGATTCGTTTCAAACGTTTCACTATGTTTTTGTTACTTATTGTTTCATAAATCTTTTGCAATAGTTTTTTAATATGTAAATTCTATTTTTTAATTTTGCTCCAATTCTCAAATATTATTGTGAAAATAATTTAAATTAAACATTATAAACCGAAATAAGCGGTTATATGTCTAGTTAGTACTCTGTAATATATGGCCGGTGTATAATACGTTAATATGTACGTACATGTATAATACTTTAAGATTTTATAAAATATGGCTTACTATGCATATTCAATGTTCGGCATATAGATATAGATTTATATGCGTTTTAAATGTTTTTTATTTTTAAAATATGTTTTATTATATGTTTATATATTAACATATATATGTCAAATTTATACTCCCTCCGTCCCAAATTACTAGTCACATTTCTATTATCGAGGCAAAATATCAAGTTTTTTCAATTCATTTTATTTACATATTGGTAAAGAAATAAAAAATAAAAATTACATATCAAAAAACTACATGAAAAGTTCTTCGAAATAAGAGGTGTCAAGAATATTTTATTTTATCAAATAACCAATAAAAACGTAGAAATAAACAAAAATTCCCGCGACTGTTGAAAAAGCAAATGTGGCAAATAATTTGGGAAGGAGAGAGTACATATTTATCCGGCCACAAAAATGATGAGTGTACCAATGTTAAATAAAGAAGTTTTAGATAGACTATGTAAAGTTAATTTGAAGTGGGAAAAGAGTATAATAGTTACTCTCGGCAGATCTATGGCATAAACTGACACAAAAACGGCTAGAAAGTTCGACCATTTTGGTTGTCCACCGTCTTATCTCTCTGGTCTCCGCCGTCCTTGTTTTTTACAGAGTATTTTATTAAGAGTATGTTCTATCAATTTTGTGGTTCATTTTTATTTGTTTATTTGTATATTAATTTAATTTTATATTCGTTTCTTCATTTTACAAGAGCACGAACCTCATCTTAGGATCCGTCTGGTTCGGATAATTATTTGAAAGGAATTAAATAGAATTTTATTATCGAGTGAACAATGAAGAATGTGACATATTCCTAACTCGGCAAGAATCTTTATGCAAAGCATAAAACAATACTAGAAGAGGTGAAGGGAGGTGATGAGTGATGATTGGATAAAAATGGTATGATGTGCAGTGATGAAAAAATATGTGATATGGTGGGAACGATTAGGGGTGATGAGCGTTGGAGAAGTGTCAAATTTTGATTGGTTAGAATTTAAAAAAAAAGCAAAATCCTCTATTGTTGTCACCCTAGCGAGGTCACGCCCGGTGCGGCATGACGAGGCCGGGGTGCGACAGTTGGTCACCACTTCCGGGTCGCGCCCCATACCACATGGTCTAAGAGTTGAATCCGGCCACAATAATGATGAGCGTACCAATGTTAATAAAGAAGTCTTAGATAGACTATTAAAAATATTAAATTTACAACTCTTTCATAGTATTCGATCTCTTTCAAAAATTGAAAGGAAAAGTAATTAGTATATAAGCTCTTGAATTGAACTAAATAATCAATTAGATTCAATCTTTTAATGTGGTTCAATCCAATTGTTTTATGGCCTAATCTTGTGATCTGTACCCAATTCTAAATTTTATTATGGTATCAGAGCGAGTTTCAACCCACTTCATTTGTTAAGGTGTTCCCGGTCCGCCTACAAGTTCATTCCTAGTGTCCCATTTGGCTTTAGCCAATTGTTTGCATGGATACGGTCTGTGGCACATATAGCCCGATTGTTTGTCTGGAAATTCATGTCCAACAATTTGTGGTATTTTCGGTGTTCATATTTTCGATCCTTTCATTTCTTGGGGCGGGGAAATTCATTTGCAAGTGATCAACTAGTTAGATTCAAAATGATCTAGTTGTCTACTTGAAGGGAAATGTTAAAGAAGAATCTCATATTAGAAATAGAAGAGAAAAATAATTGGTATATAAGCTCTTGAGTTGAAGTAAGTAATCGAGTGGCTTCAATCTTTCAATATGGTCCAACTCAACTTTCTTATGGCCTAATACAATTCAGTGTGGAATAAATTTTTGAAGTGAGAAATACCTTAGGACTTGGCTAGCTTCTATATGCTCATTAAAAGATACTCCATTATTCACACAACGCTAGTAAAGTAAAGAATGAAGGTGTCACTAAAGATTGATAATAATGGAAGAATTTTATTTTTTTTGGAAGATCGAATTTCGTTTTTTTGCTCTATAAACACAGAGCCTCTATGATAATATGTGTCTTATCCGATTAAAATACTTTAGAAACATATCAAAATAACTTTAATTTTATGTGAAAACGATTAATAATTAAGTTATTCAAAATATGTATGGATCCTATGATTTTCGTGTTCTTTCTATAATCCTTACGCCGCACAAATATGAACTCTAGGATGGGTGTGTGTGTGTATGCCTTTTAGAAACCAGGCTTCATGTGAATTAAGAAAGAGATTATGCTATGTGTACCCCAAGGTTTGTACCCCAATTTGTACCCCGCAGTTTTGCACCAACACTTTGTGTTGGTGCAAAACTAATTTTTGTTAAACGCACCAACATTTGTGTCCGTGTGAATTTTTTTTAACGCACCAACACTTGTGTCGGTGTAAACCATCGAAATGTTTGTGCAAACCTGTGGTGTACAAATGAGTTATATTTTTTGGTGTAAGTGTAGCATGGTTCTTAAGAAAGAGGTGGTTGGATGGGGAGGTGAACAAATTAAATTACTGCACCATGTGATCGAGGCATATCGCATGTGATTGAGTTTTTTCTTTATTGTAAGTAACAATAAGCGGCCGGTAATCGAGACGTATACCTCACCACCCATCACCTGAATCGTGCAACATGACATTGTACCTGCATGCCAACCGTCGCCTCCATCGCAAGACGTGATATATACTTAAGTTCATGTTTTTCTATATTTATTTCTTTTACTTATTACTTATTCTTATTAGATCAGATCAGATCAGAAATAGCTTTAAATATAACTATATTTAAATTAGATTAGAATTTATTTCAATCAGATCAGAAGCAATCATATCAGGTGAAGAGAACATGGCCTTAGAGGGCGTTTGGGCTTGTTCAATCTTTAGAAAAATTGATTGTTCAAACCACATAATCTAAAAGCATCTCTGAGTAGCTTTTCGGAATTTGCTTTTTCGTCTCTAAAGAAGTCAAGAATCATAGTGCTGCAAACATTATTCTATTCAAAGTAGATGTTGAAAATCATTTTTATAAGGATTGACAAACACCCTTTTAGGCTCTCTTGTGCAATAGATTCAATTTTTAATCAACTTTAACGTCTTGAAAATTAAAAGTTAATTTGTTCGAGCAGTGTAGTATGTCCATGTTGTTGAGAGGTGAGTTCTAAATGGAATAAATCGAGATTTGACTCTTGAGACCTACGATAAAGAATGATCATGCTTTGATTGAGCAAGACCGTTCCCGAGAAATCAGGCACCTAACACGACACGGAGAAAATGTACCCTTGTGTCATAATGAATAAGGCAATCAATTTATTTTATAATAGTTTCTATTAACCACATTATAGCTTTAGGTTCATTTATGTACCCTTATTGTTGAGTTGTCTCATTCCACCCATCGGCTAAACATGCCAATATTATGATATATCTAATAGCTTGAGTTCCATAATCTCTTGAGTTAACTTTATGGGTTGAATTATGCCTAAGTCTCTTATTTTACATATTATGAAAGCTGAGACTATTAATGCTAAGACCGCGCTTGCAGTAATCTGTGCCTCGGTCCTCGTGTGAGGGGGGGCGTATTGAGTTGTCTCATCCCACATCGGCTAAACATGCCAATATTATGCTATATTTAATAGATTGGGTTCCTAAACCTCTTGAATTGACTTTTAGGCTTGAATTAGGTCCAATTTTATTATTTCACACTTCTACTCTCTAGTTGGTGAACGTACACTATTCAATGTCTACCAGCAAGATACTGTGATCTTTTTACAAATCAGAAGCTCTTGCTCACTAAGGAATTACATGAATTGTTTCAACAAAGAACATTTTGGTTGAGTAGTCGCACCCATCAATGATGAAGAAATTATCCGACAAGGGTTGGTCTCTAGAGAAGTAGAAAAATACTCCCTCCGTCCCCCAGTTTTTGTCAACTTTCATTTTTACACACCATCCAATACAGTTCTTTAATCCATTTTATCTTGTAATTTGTATATTAAAAAATTATAGAAATTATATATTAATAATCTATATGTTAAGACAAATCAAACAAGATCACACATGACTATATTTAGGCTTACACATTGAGAGAATTTGATGAGTCAAAGTGCTTAGATGAACAGTTCCAAAAGTCAAAAGTGGACAAAAATTGGGGGACGGAGGGAGTATGTGTTATATTATGGGACTTGAAAAGGAAGCGTGACTAAAAAGTGATGTGGTGAAAATATGAATTGTTTTAATTGGTTGAAAAAGGAAGAAAAGAAGGGGGGGGGGGTGGTCATCGCCTAACAAGGAGCCACACACCATCACATCAATGGCGACATGGTGAGGCTAGCATGACGAAGGGGGCTCGCCTCGGGTCGAGCCCAACCACGCAGGCTATGTGTTATGGGACGTGAGGAGGGGCTTGATCACCCTCCATCACGCCCCTCTTCAACTATGCAGGTACGGTGAAGGGGCGTCACCCCATTTCAAGTGATGGCCATCACTCCGTGTTTACTCTCTCCATTTTTTTAAAATATTTCAATCAATCAAAATTTAAAATGTATTCAT